GGGAGAGAGAGAGAGAGAGAGAGAGAGAGAGAGAGAGAGTTCACAGCAGGAACTGAAGAAAAAACGGATATCTGTCTTTCAGGGAAAGGAACAAAAGTTCCCACTTCAGAGGAATAGAATCGCAGCCTCAGCGACATCGGAAGACATTGGCCCGGGGCGTGAGATTATATTGTGAAGACATACAAAGAAATATAGAGGGTTCAAGACAGAAAACCCCAAAACAAAACAAAAACAAAAAGAATAGAAATGTGAAGCAGCGTGGGGGAAGCAGGCTCTCGTCAAAATAATCAAAGTGAAGAAACTTGCATTTTTCCGCAGGTTTGTGAATTTTTATCAAATTTTTGTTTTTTGGCTCAACACCTTTCATGCCCATTAAAGAACTAATTTATGTGTGGACTTCTCTGAAAAAAGTCGATTGATTGCCCAAAATATGTAAATTACCACGGACTCTTAAACTAAGGAAATAACTAATCTTTGGAGGCCATTTTCTCACTAATTTTACCTCTGAAAACAGGTGGCCCCCACCTCCTTCATTCGCAAATGTCTCGACCTGTATTCACGATAAATGGATATTTTTTTTCCATCTAAATAGAGACAAGTGACAAAACTTTAAGACGATACCAATAACTCTACTTGCCCGAAATTGACGAGAGCCTGATTCCACCACGCTGCCTCACAAATGATGTGGTTCTTTCGCGTGTATTTCAGTTTCGCGTTTTAAAAATAGTTTGGTGTCTTTTAGTATGTGCGTGGGGAAAAGAACTTTTTGGTGTGGGGGTTGTTGTTTTGTTTTTTTGTAAGTGAAAATGTTCGAATTTGAAGGGAAAATGGTAAGGATGTGCAGAAGGGCGGGGAGCTCACACAAGTGGAGGTTGAGTTGCGAATGTAAGAAAGAGAGAGAAAGGGGGGGATAGAGAAAGGGAGAGAGAGGGAAGGGTGAGAGAGAGGGGGAGAGGAGGACGGGGCGGGAAGGAAGTAGGGGGGGGGGAGAAAAAAGGAGAAGGGAGAAGAAAGACATGAGAGAAGCAGGTAAGACGATTCACTGAAGTATGGAAAAGGGAGATTTGGACAAGCAGAAAAAACGAGAAGAGAAGAGAGAGAGAGAGAGAGAGAGAGAGAGAGAGAGAGAGAGAGAGAGAGAGAGAGAGAGAGAGTACTCATC